CTGTCCCTGTAGGTTCATCAATTCTGGATTTCATATCCTGAAGAGCCTTATACTATATTTAATGGCAAGATATTAGGGCCAGAAATTGTGCTGTGCCCACAGGAGGTACAGATAAGTCCACCTGAGAATCTTACAGATTCAACTGAATACATTTAATTACTTCAGCAGCAGAAATGCCGTCAGAGGGGTTAGATCGAGGTACATTTGGAATCCAGGGGAAGAAGTGACTATTTTTTCTTAAAGAATATGGAATGGCATCTTAAATCAGGTGACATTTCAGCTTTGATCTGATGAACAAGTTTTTGGGTTTTTTTTTAAACAAACATAAAACGGGGAAAGACTTCTTATAAAGAAACATCCACACTCCATGTAAAGGCAAAGCATGCAGAACATATTTATGTGACAATTCCAGGAAGACTGAGGTTTTGAGTCAACATTTAACAGGGAGAATGAGACCATATTTTAAAAGGTTTATAGTGCTAAGTTGACAATTTAAATATCTTTAATATAAAAACATCTATATTTAAAAATGAGACGCTACATATATATTTTGTGATATAGATATATAAAACTATTGTTATATACATATAATAAAGTGGCCTGAAAAGGAATGGCTTCTCTCTGTGGTGTGTCTCCTCCTACATCCCTATGTCTAGCCCACCCACATGACAGGCAGGACAGTAACATTCATGTAATGTGATAAAGAAAGGAAATGGTCAACAAAACTTAATAATGGTGGAAAAAAACTCCTAAGAAACTAAATTTAGATTGAATATTGGATAAGCAGAAAAAAAATTGAAAGTATTTTTAAATGTGCCCAAACTGAAGAATATATAGGGGGAAATTCAAAGAATAAGATGAACATTCTTTAATGATGACTTGCCTTCATGCCAGGAAGGTCAAGAATATTTTTTAAGTTCTATAAGATTAAAAGAAGGCAAATAAAATTTTCCCTACAGATACTAAATCCTATAAAAATCATGAGATTGCCATCTTACTTCTCTGCAACAAAAACTACCAGAATATCCTACAATAACAGTTACAGAATTTCGGGAGGCAAAAAATAGTTAATACTTATTTGTCCTTGAAATTGATAAAATTAGGTGAGAACAAATTTTTGAACTGAAGATAAACTGATTCAAGTTTTAATAAGTGAAATATATAGTTGTTTCAAATTCTTAAAAAGTGTTGAACAGAAGTGACATATAATAAAAGATTAGCTAAACAATATAATATTAGAAACCATGTAAGATAATTGGAGTAGATAAAAGATATTACCTATTTTAAGAAATATTAATATACTAAAATCTTTATTTTTACAGTTTTATTCAGTCTTTGAATTGGTTACAGAGAAGAATGTCCACATGTTTTCTCTGTGCATAAGTTACCAAAGTTATTTGGTCTGTTACTACTGTTTCAGAAAAATAAGAGGAAATCACTCAGCATCCCCATGGCTTTTAAAAATGTTTGTATTATCCAGAAATAATAAGAAAGGCTATAGGTCCAGAATTCCAAATAAGAGTGGAGGTCTCTGCTTTTGCAGCCCCCCTATATGGCTCCAGCACCTCCCGGGGGTAGTTTTGCCTACTTTGGGAAACACTGCCCTGTATGAAATAAATAACTAAAATTAAAAATTAAATAGCAGTTAAAATTAAATAAATGGTCAAAGAGAAACCAAATAACTCAAAAGCAATAATACTTTGATGATAATTTTTTAAACCCCAAACTTAAGTCATTAAATATAAATAAGATTAAATGATATAGTTGACAATAATTACATAACAAGCATTGATCTTTATGCCAAACTAAAAGGAGAATTTGATAGGAATCACAGAAAGAATTGTTGTAACTACTATTGTAGGATTTTGTAGATATTAGTATTCAAAGAAGTAATAAGGGCTGTGTGTTAGACTGTGTTCTCTACAAGCAAACCAATGATATATATATAATTTTATAATCAAGAAAGTGACCCCCATACAGTTGTAGAAGTGATTAAGCCCAGTCTGATTCAAGTCTATGAATTAGATGCTAAGCTGGTGACTTTTATTGACTTGTGTAACTTCCAGGCCTGATGAAATAGGAAGCAGGAAGGCAGAATGTTGGTGGAGGCAGAGGTGGATTAATCTAAAATCCACAAGTCAGGCTCAGGACTGCAGAGTAGCATGAACCCAAGGTCAGCAAGCAATGTGGCAGACACTGATCGCTCCCACAGTGGGTATGCAAGTGGCAGGCTGATGAACCAGATGCAAGATCCAGACCAGCAAGAGGGCTAAGCCTTCCCAAGAGTCTGCTTACATAGGAGTGTGTCACATCCCTGAGGCAACGTCCTTTCAATTTTCCTTCTCCAAATATTCCCAACTTGGATGTTCATAGCAGATTCCATCATGGGAATGATCACATTTTGTTAGCTCACGTCATGGCAGAGGGCAAACCCCTGAGATTCTTGACCAAGCCAACTTGACACAGAACCTAATAATCACAAGTGGAAAATCACCACCTTCAGTCAATTCTGACTGACAGCAACCTCATGATAAACTGAGTAGAACTTCTCCATTTGCTTTCCAGGCATGTGTTCCCTTATACAAATAGAGTCAAAATACCAACCTTTAGTGTAGGGCAAAATGTTTGTGTCATCTAGGAACAATAATAAAAGAATATATCTTTTATTATGAATAAGATGGTATACCATAATGTTAATGCACACTCTCTTTAAATATCCAGCATAAATTTATAGTGAATTTCTAATTCAAAGGAAAACTATACTTTTATCATTTTTAAATATAATAAAACCAAATAAATGGTAAGACCAAGTCACTCTGAGTCATGTTGGCTGCTTCATCCCTAGGTGTGCCACCATGGTGAATGTGTCTGCATCAAAGACGTCTACAATGCCACCAATTGCTCCTTCCAGTGCAATGAAAATGCCGTAAGATGGATAATCCTTTTAAGCCAATGTCTTACAAATGATTTATATAACTAGAACATCCTTACTGAACCTATGTGTATATAGTATATATGAATGCATGTATTCAAGGTGGTGCCCCCCCCAAAGTAAAATCCCCCCCCAAGCTATGTATTTAATTTATTCACAAAACAATCTTATCACTTTCAAAGTACTCTCCATTTCACTTAATATATTTGTTAAATCTGCAATTCCATTCTTGGAAATATTTTTCAAACTCATGTTTGGATGGCTGGCAGCACTTCCCGTATTTTTTATTTCACCTCTTCTGCATCTTCAAATAGCTGCCTTTCATATCCCTCTGCATTCACAGAAACAAAAAGAAGTTGCACAGAGTAGGATTAGGTTAGTCAGGAATGTGAAGCAAGAGAGGTATGCTATTTTTTGCCAAAATTGGTACACTGAGGTGGCTGCATGAGCAGGTACATTGTTATGGTGGTAAAACCAGCCCCCCAACTGCCACAAATCAGGTCTTTCTTGTCCCACACTGTTTTGCAATCTTTTCAGGACCTCTAAATAGAAACCTAGATTTAGATTTAGTCTGACCTGCTGGAATGAACTCCAAATGCACTACAAGTTGATGTTTTCATGTTAGGGAAGTTAATGGACTTCCAGAATGAGGTCTGTCATCAGTCAACATTTCACCTTTTTTGAAATGAGAAAAACACTTGTACACTTGAATTTTTCCTCTAGTGCTATCCCTGTAAGCTGGTTTC